GTGCCAAAATAAATACAACATAACTTACCCTGTGACCTACTTGAGGTGGTGTTGCATAGCAAGTCGAGGGATATTTTCGATTTGCGGAGCGCAGCGACGGCGCCGAGGAGCGCAGCGACGAATGCCGCTAGCAAGGCATCACTGCCCACATTATAARARCGTTAAAATAGTGATTTAATAAAATATATTCTTAATCTAACAATATTATAAAATAATTTGTAACCATAATGTTTTTTTATACTTAGTGATAAATCGTTTTATTTTATTTAATTAAATARGTACATTTAACATTGCGTGCAAGAGTATAGAATCGAAAATCGTGAACTTCGCAAGTCTATAACTTCAAAACTAATCATTTCCGAAAATTTATTTTTACACCATCGTTCTAAACTCGTCAAAATACATAGGTTTCAAAAAAAAAAAAATCGAAAATTCGAAGGGGTGCTAAACTAGATTTGTTCCGCGGTTACATATAATATTCAAGGGCTCCCCTTGAAAATAAAGCCAACCCCCAAAATGTTCCCCCAGAGCAATTTTATATACAGTATACACTATWCAGCCATACAGGGTGTAACAGAAAAACCTGATAAAAAATATAAATATATGACAACATTTTTTAATATCATATAATGAGTAAATAATTTAAGAAATTTACTCATGTTAGCAAATTCTCAAAAATCATATTAAAAAAAAAGTTATTATAGGTTCCAAATTAATCTAACCAAAAAAATATTGAATTTTAGAAAAATTATAAAAAATAAATTACTTGGCTTAGATAAACTTTTTATAGTTATAATTTTTCTCATAATCGAACTCACAGATAGGCTATTTGAATTTATCCAAAAAATTTTTAAATAAATTTAAATTTTTTTATTTTCAATACTAAAAAAWTTAATTATACATGTAGCGCTTAATRAAAGAAAAACAAATAGGTATTAATTTTAACAAATGTTGTTCCAAAAGTCAATTCTATATGTTACACTTTTTGTTCTTATATATGCTTATAATATAAAATGTACATAATAATATGGATTATAGGTATTATAGTAATGATTGTGTATTTATAATATTAATAATACATTGTAGTCTTATAATAATTCTAATAAAAGCATACACCTTTTTTTACTCGGCAAAGCTTATAATATGTCGTCAGAAATGACGAAATTATTATTTTAGACTCTTTAGAGGTTAACTATTATTTTATAAAATATAATCTTTAATACTCAGGTATAATGTATAGCTTTCTTATGGTAAAAAATGTTTAGTTGTTTCAAAGAATGCTCCCTATAAACATACAATTATACCTCTTTATAATATTAATATATGACACACGGACATCTTATGGCAAAGACAGATCCACCCCTTTGCCCAACATGCAATACAAACTACTCCATCAAACATATCATCATCCACTGCCCAAACTTCAACGAAACTAGAAAAGATTTCAACATCCCAGACAACCTGTACGAAGCAATTGGTCCATTTTCAAACTTTCATAGCATAATTTTATACTTTAAAAAAATAGAATTGTACAATAGCATATAGGTAATCATTTAATGTAGAAATTAACACATGTAAGCTAATAACCTATGTAGTTGATGCTTAACCAATAAAAAAAAAAAATAAAATAAATATTAATATAAAAGTATAGATATAGATATTATATTGATATGTAAACTGTACACTAATACACTATACTACTTTATAATAAATAGATCCCAAGAAACTCGGGGAGTGTTATATACCTTATTTTTTCCAATCCTTATGGGCTATGGCTATATCTTGTTATAGAATGGGTCACGCCTGAATTTAATTTTGGCTCACGCAAATTGAGTATTTTTCGATTATTTAAATTACTGTCATTTGTTGCAATATTATAGATTATAAAATAGTTAGTATTTATTGGATGTAATTTTCTGTAGTATTTATCATAAAGGCTATCCGCTATTTCTTTATAATTCTAAAATTGAGTACCCAAAAAATATTGTATTATATTAGAGGTATAGTTTATGGCTGAGCTTTATATAATAAAAATATTCTGCATAATATAGGAAGTCTAAGGAATGTTTAGATAATAGTTTAATAGTTCCAACCAATTAGTTTAAGGTTACCTAATTCCTCAAATTATAGTAAAATATTAATATATTATACCTAAATTATGTGTTGCCCGGCGTATTGTATAGGCAAAATAGGTACATCACAGGACACAGGTTAGTTGCAATTTATTACAAGTGTTCAGTATTGTCCATAGTGTTACATTTTACTTTATAGCAAATATTACACTACAATCGGCGATAGGAAGTATTTGTGGCARTTGGTCATAATCTAAAAATGTTCGTACACCGCTACAATCACCCAAATCCACACTCCTTGGCTTCATAGGCAAACACAAAAATATCGCCGAATATGACGAAAACCCGATAAGACGACAAGAGGTCAGTATATATTTAAAAAAAAAAAGTTTCAATTAAAACTAAATTTACAAAAAGTCATCACATCAATTACAGAATATTATTGAGTTGTCAATACAGCCAACAATAAACAATTATTTTTAAAATTAGGAATAAAGTAGACGTATTCAGAATTCACAAACTTAATATTACTTATTGTTTAGACAGACTTTATATTACCTATAGTATATAATATATAGAGAAATAACATTTAGTATTAGAAAACA